GGAGATCTAAGCAAAATACACCATAAACTAGGGTTTAAGGGAAAGAGGCTCCATAATCAACTCAAGGGCTGCTACTTTATGCTTCTCAAGACCATAATGAGCTTAGATCTGAAGTAGCAACCTCAGATCTAGCTTCTAACTCAAAATAGGTAACTAATCATGGCTAGAAAACCCCCAAAACTCACAACCATACTAGATCTAAAGGAGAGAACGACTTAATATCTTCAATAACTCAGAAACTTCTCCAATCTTCGGATCCAAGGCCAATCCTTGAAGCTCCAATGATTCCCTTTCTTCTTCTTCCTTCAAATCACCCCACAAATGGCTTGGAAGCTTGAATGAGGAATAATGAGGCTTAGGGTTCGATGTTCTTGGTGAAAGGGGCAGTAAAGGAGCCCTAGGGGAGAGAATGAGACGTTTAAATAGGCTCCAAGTTCCGATTTTAGGGTTTTCCTCACACAGACCAGACTCGCTGAGTCCCCTTGGCCGACTCGCCGAGTCGGTCACTTACTCCTCGACCCGGATCCCGCTCGGACTCGCCGAGTTCATCCTTGGACTCGTCGAGTCTCCCTTAAAATTAAGGTTTTCTTTCTTTTCTTGGCCTTCCAAAATTTGGGTGTTACAGAAAGTAGGAGGCCGCTTAACTGGCATAGTGTAAGCTCTTTGGGTACAAGGCACAAAGAAAACTCCATTATGTCTATGAAGGCGCGGTCGTATTCCTCAACGATATGTTGCCATTCTTTAATGTCAGATGTTGATTCCCTAGCTATAGCATGTTTTGGGCCGAGCAGAAATTGCACTTGAAGTGAACCAATAACTTTTTCCATGTCAGTTGTAGTGGCTTGTTAGGGCTTATGATTTCTCCTAACGTATTCCACCAACGAAAAACCCCGCCTATGAATTTACATACAACGTAAGTGGTCTGCAACTTGCCCTTGCATCGACAAGTTATGAAAGCTAAGTCCATCATCGCTCCAAATGGGTCTTTTTTCCCACTAAAATTTGATGGCTTTCAAGTCGTAAAGTCCTTGTACGTGCATCCATTCCTTTCAACCCCCTCATTCAGGTTATTTCTCCTGACTACTTGGGGCTCAACATAGCTAATAGTCTGACTATAATTTCCTTCATCTGATTATTCCTCTTCCAGCTCACGTTAACAGACTAATGCACTAGGTTCATCTGTAATCCCTTACAATAAATGCTTTGTCTCTTCCATCTAGCAATCTAACATGGCCTATATCATTTCCATCATGATTGGTTCGAGTGTGGGGATTGCCTCTGTTGCTCGCTCGATTACATGAGGCTTAGGATGTTGGTTCAATTGTTTCTAAGTCTTAGTTTATTATTCTTGATGACTAATTAATAGTCTAGATTCCTCACTATTCCCAATGTCTATATCATGATCTATCCAGTAAAGAACAACCAGGTAGTATCGTATCGGAGGTAGGGTCTGTTGGTATACAAAGTATACTGTTTGGAAATCCCACTTTAAACACCTAACTAAATCCAGCCTAAAAATCATCCCCGTAAGTAGATCAATCGGTATAATAACTTGGAATCACTGATAAATCTTAATTATAGGTTCATAATAACAACTATGACTATAATTAAAAGTTACACTTGAATAAAACACGTGTAGATTAACTTACAACGCTTTCTGATGAAAACCGGGAATTAAGCAGTTAGAACTCTAACCTGAGAGCTTCTAATCGTCGACTATCTGACATTGTAGGGATCTGCTAAAGACTAAAAAATAAGGGAAAATGGGGCTAATAATCATAGAAATTGGAGAGAGAGAGAGAGAGAGAGAGAGAGAAAGAGAAAGAAAGAAAGAAAGAGAGAGAGAGAGAGAGAGAGAGAGAGATAGAGAGAGAGAGAGATTGATGAAAGGTGTGGAGACGATCTGATCTTCTGCTGCTATGTATATATGAAAAAGTAGGTACGCGCCGCGCACCTTTTCTTGGCGCGCCGCTACAAGTTTTCGAATGATGATGTGTCTCAATGTAGTGGTGACACATGTTAAAATCATGTGGCATGTAAGAAGCGTGTCGCGCGACTGCGCATGAATTTTTATAAAAATTTTAAAAATCATATCTTCTTCATACGAGTCTGTTTTATATCCACGCATAGTTATCGACGAGATCTACAAATTTCATTTAGACTTCGTCGGCTAATTTTGAGTTTATTTTTAAAGTTATATTTTTAACAAACTTAGACTGCTAAAGTTCGTTCAAAACTCACTCCTTACGTGTTTGGTTTTTTGCCACACCACAATTGACTAGTAGATTAATTTAGAGGAAAAAAAAAGAGAAAAACAACTATAGGTATTCTTAAAGAAACGAAAAGGAATTCCATGACTATAGTTACTCAGTGAGAATGGTCTTTGGTAATGTTAAAGTTGAATATATATATATATATATATATATATATATATATATATATATATATATATATATATATATATAAAAGCTTAGGTACCCAAACTCATCATACTACACCGTTTTGTATCATATATATACATGATAATTGTCCAATATTATTATAATTCAACCTCTAACTTGATTTACTTCCAATATTTTTTTATAAATTTCACATTTATCTTCCGCTTACATAATTTCATTTCGGATTATAATATATATAGCCTATAAGGTGTTCGGCAAAAAATATGATGTAAGAGGAATATAATAGTGAAATTTTAAAAATCTTGAGAATAAATCAAGTTAGGGATTAAAGTTTAAGAACAATATAATGAATATATCAAACAAAACGATGTATTATGGTAGGTTTACGTACCTATACTGTTATATATATATATATATATATATATATATATATATATATATATATATATATATATATATATATATATATATATATATATATAATGTATAAAAACAAGCATTTAATGTTGGTTTGTTTGAAAAACAATTGTTCTCTTTTGGCAAAATACTCACCATGGAATTAGGATAATACCTTATTGTGATTACACATACTGGTTATGATTTATGAATATGAATTTGTGAGCTTAAAATAAAGGACTATACTAGTAATTTTTTCAATGGGATGATATAGTAAAATTAAAGATTATTATGTTGATCTCATGCTTTATGATTTAAATTTGATATTTTCCAGACGCTTTATGAATTAAAATTGATATTTTTCGGTATATTTGTGTAATTATAAATTTATTTAAGCCTTTTTTTATATTAAAAGTACAATGTTATTCATTGGTATTGTATAAGCATGCCATTATTGGTGTTAAAAACAAATGAATGCCTGATAAAAACAGATTTGCTCTATGAGGGTAGCATGGTTATTTTTCATCATTCACCACAATCAGTCAGAGATATAATCAAACAGCATAAACTCAATGAGATGTACACTCAATCAGAACTTCTAACCTAGTCAACTCTAATATAGTTGACAACTATCAAACGACCCTCAAATCTAATAAAATATCAGACCATCCAGACTTGTTTTTGTTCAACTTTAAGGGTGGAGGGAGTGGACCATGCCAACACATTCAATCCACTTATCACATCAATTTTTATCTATCATTTGTTTTTTATCTTTTCAAACCCACAACACATGAAACAATATATTTTGTCAACTCACTCAGTCCATTTGCAGCGTCATTATTTTTAATTTAAATAAATTTGTAAATATAAAATTAAATAAAGCATAACATTTTTTTAAATTTCTTTATTCTTTAAAATAAATTTTTACTGTTTTAAAAACTAAAAAAATTATAAAACAATATTAAAAATAACATTTAATTAAAAACCACACTACAATAACCTAATTTAGATCCTAAAACAACAAACAAAAAAAAAACTAAAAACCATATTACAAATGACAAACGATAAACTAAAAGAAATACTTATATTCTAAAAAAAGAAATGTGGGTTTTTAAAATATTCTACACTGCTTGGTAAGGATATTTTTTTTAATGATATGGTGTCGACGATACTTATTTTTGGTTGCGTTTAAAAGTTTTTCTTCGGAAACTCTAAGCTTCCAGATATTCGTCTTGAGATGAAAATAGCATTAAAATCTTTCACTTTTTGCTACATATCTTTTCATTTGAAAGCAATATGATGTTTCGAAAGATCCAAACTGATCGCCAAAAATATGATTTGAGTAGCTTGCCTATTTTCGAAAGTGTTAGTGTATGCTTTGGCCACCTCCACATCTTCGATTTCGGACAATTTTGCGCATAGGACTGACCTAGGAATGACACTCATTTTCAAAAACTGAATTGAATTTATAATGTAATTTATAGAGTTTGTAATGAAATTGAAAGAAAAAAGAGGTGGTTTGTAAATAGTGTTATACCCATTAATCTTTTGTACTTAGCATGCATTGCTTGATCCATGACCCATCGTATTATTCTATTTACTTTATCCTTCGTTGCAATTAAATGAAGTTTTGAAAAATATACCAAATTGCAAAATTGTCGATGACCAAAACGCGTTTAGAATTCTCACTTTAGATATTACTCGTCCAATAAAAATTTGCTACAAAACAAAATCCATAACTTTTATCTTGCACCGAGGTTTTGAAATTCACTTACACTCGACAGAGATAGGGAAAAAAAAATAATAATAAAGCATGCCACAAATGATGTGAATCACACACCATATGTGAATCTTTAGCCTTTGACTTGTAAAGCTAAAGGCAACGGTTTCCTTAGTACGCAAATCATCAAACCAAAAATAAAGTAAGTCCATGTTCCATTCGTTTTGGTTTCTTTTATTAATTGTGTTCCTTCAACTTAAATTCATTATTATTATTTATTATTGAAGCAAACACGTTTTGACAAATCTAGAAAATTAAAAAAATAGCCATCAATAAATCTATGAGGAGGGATGGCTACAACTAAAGTCTAAACACACAACGCGACACCTATCTCATAAACGAGATGAAATGAAATACTCCCCACCATTTTCATTCATATATATGCTTCCAAACTCTTCACAGTTTTCTATTAAAAACCTTCAATGGACATCGAAAAGAAAGACGAACAACCTCTCAGATCCTCTCCCCTCCCCCACACTGACGAATCTCGAAAGCGCAAACGCCGGAGTTGCATCATCTGCTGCGCATCCGTCACCGGAGTTATACTCACCATTCTTCTAGTCCTCCTCATATTAGGCCTCACTGTCTTCAAAGCCAAAAAACCCGTCATGACTGTTAATTCCGTCGCTCTCCAGGATTTAAATGTTTCTTTCCACACTTTTCCGGTTAGGGTTTCCTTAAACCTGTCTCTCGACCTTGGCATCTCCATTGAGAACCCTAACAAAGTCGGTGTAAAGTATCAGCCCAGCTCAGCCAGTCTCCTCTACAGAGGCAACGAAGTCGGTCAGGTTCCTATTCCCGCTGGCGAGATTGGCTCCGATGATACCAGGGAGTTGAATCTCACGGTGACTGTTTTCGCCGATCGATTACTTTCCGATTCCGATATGTACCGGGATCTCCTCTCCGGTAACTTGCCGTTTACTACTTATACTAGGATCAAAGCTAAAGTTCGAGTGCTTTTCATTCATATTCACGTCACGTCTATCTCAACTTGCGACGTGAATATCGATATCGCAGGTAGACGAATCGCGAATCAAACCTGCAATTATCAGAACTCATTATAGCGCAGTAGTAGATACGATATACATAGGTGGATTTTGTTGATTTGATTTGACTTGATTAGATTAGAGGGTTTTTTTTTATCTTAACATACGTCTTCTTCGTCTGCCTGTGTATGTTGTGTTATTGTTGTTGTATGGAATAATGCTGTTGATGTTTATATTTTATTGTAAAATGATGTATTCTTTGTTGTTGAAGTTCTTAAACTATTTTCTATTGCTTTAGGGAGCCACTTGAATATTATATGTTTCCTTATCATCTGGCACACAATCTTTTACACTCTGTTCTTCTCCTTCACCAAACAATTGATGGGTTATTTCTTTCTTCAACAACTTCGCTAACCTTTTATTTGTAAAAGTAAAACAACCATTCTACTTCGTTAACCTTTTATTTGTTGTTTATCTGCGACTGTAAAAGTTTTCTATAACTATTTTCAGTGAAAAAAGAAACACAGAGATTGAGAACTAGTCTAAATACACACATATTGTAAAATGTATAATCACCAAGGTGATGATGAAATTCTTCACTTGAAACTACAAACTAGAAACTCAATCAGATAGATGATGTGGTTCAGAACTGAGATTTGTCGAGGCTATCAAAATAAGGATGATCCATAGCAGCTTTGGCTGAGATTCTGTCAGCAGGGTCGTATTTCAGCATTTTCTGAAAACAACAAAATCATGTAATCATGTAAATATCAGTATTTGTATCTCACCAAAAAAAAAAAAAAAAAAAAAAAAAAAAAATCTTTTACGCAACTCAAAGAAAGAATCTAATGTACCGATAGAAGGTCGATCCCATCAGGTTCCAAAGATGGAACAACACGTGTCAAATTCTGGGGCTCCCACCTCGGATACACATGCCAGTCCTTTAGAGATGTGACACCTGGCCACTGCTCCTCTGTTGGTGTTCCAAGCAACCTGCAACCACAAACCAAAAATGAAATAAAATCGATGTTGCCTTCTTCTTCACTTGATATAAATAAATCCTTCAAGAATCACAACTAGCAGAAATGCAAACAATTTGCTACCCTTTCATATTGTCTAGTTTGAGATAACAGAGAAACATGTCGTTTCATGTAAAGCTGTATGTATTAAGTATAAACCTGAATATATGAAGCAGTTGCTGGAACTCAGAATCACCAGGAAACAAAGCTTGCCTTCTTGCCATTTCAGCTGTCAAATATTACAATCAAGGTTAGTTAATAACCCACAATGGACTACAATCAAGAAATAAATTAAAAGAATTTAGTATTTCAATGTCATGGGGGTTTGCTCCGACTTGTGAAACTGGTATGAATACAGAATAACATATTATTTTAGAGATTATAGCAAGAACTCCAAACAAAAAACAGTAATCAACTAATATAACGAACAACAAGAAGAACAAAAGCAGACATTAAAAGGGTAAAAGGATCTGGAATTAATACTGACCGAAGATACAGCCAACAGACCACATGTCAACACCAGTGGAGTAATGAGTTGATCCCAACAAAACCTCTGGGGCTCTGTACCAAAGCGTAACAATCTGCAAACCAAAACACCAATTTCACATTTCAACTCTAACCTAATAATCAACATTACTGAAGAAGAAAGCGACTAAAACCTCATGAGTATAACTCTTGAGAGGAACAGTAAAAGTCCTTCCAAGACCGAGATCTGCAATCTTCAGAATCCCCTTTTCTTTGTCAACCAGCAAGTTTTGTGGCTTCAGATCTCTGATTTTTTTTTTCAAACGATTATCAAATTAAACAAATTAAAGCAGGACATGGGAAGTAGATAAGTGGATACCTGTGAAGAACACCGTGGCCATGGCAGTGGGCAACACCTTTGCACAATTGAAAAAGAAAGCTCTGGATCTGAGAAGAAGGGAGAGGGGAAGGACTAGGCCCCTTCCGATGGGAGTCGATGAACTTCTTGAGATCTGTGTCGAGATACTCGAAGACAAGATAGAGAAGGGGTTTGCCTTTATGGTGGATGTGTTGAACTCCGATTAGGCGGACGATGTAGATGGAATTGGAGAGCATCTGGAGGAGGGAGATCTCGCGGAGGGCGGTGGGTGGAATGCCTTCCTCGTCCATCTCCAGACGGGTTTTCTTGAGAGCGACGAGTTGGCCGGACTGCATGTCTTTGGCTTTGTAGACTTTTCCATAGGTACCTTCTCCAACCTTCTCCAGTTTCTCGTACTTGTCTTCCATGGCGGATTGCTGAATGAGAGTGGATGTGAGATGAGAGGGATGATATAATTTGAAATTGAAATCGCAACGGGAGATTTTCCCTCTCTCGTGCAATTCGAATTCTTTCGCATTTGGTTGGGCCCAAACCCATCAAATTTTCTCACCTCCAGGCTCCAGAATTCGACAGGTAGTATGGATTCAGACTTTTGTATATCCGACAATAGATAGGAACCGGATATTTTCGATCCACGTTCGTTTATAGATTTTCCGGTCCAGACAAATCTGATCCGGCGGATATTAATCGGAGATGGAAATTTGAAAACATTTTTTTTTGTATTAGAATGAAAATTCGATAATTTATATCCAAAATTGAAAAAAAAAAAAAAAAAAAAAAAGAAAGAAAGATAAATCTAACCCAACCAATTATCCAAAATGGAAGAGTTTTCGCCAAAACCCAAATTAATGCGGGGATAATGACTTAGAACGGTAAAATAGTTTAGGTTTTGTTTAAACTAGTTTGGATTATCATGAGAGAATTTAAATCCTCACTTGTTGATGTAAGTTACATAGTTTAGGTTTTATTTACATTAAGTCCCTTAAGTTTGTTTTGTCTATATATTAGAATTGAATTTTTTTGAATTATTCACATATCCTTATCAACTTGTTTGGACCGTTGGCATTTACATCTAGGGGTGTTCATGGATGGTTAACTGAATCGAAAACATATTTCGAAAGGTTAACGAAGGCTATAGGTTTGTTCATTTCTTGAACCTAAACCTAAACGAAAAAGAAACAACTATACTTAACCCATTGAGTTTTCTAAACATTAAGTACATTAAATAAAAAAGAAACGTACCCTTAGCTTCATATCATTTTATTTTATACACAAATCCTAACTATATATTCCTATTTCACAATGAGACTAAACTTTTGACCCATCTTGTAATGAATAGTGCATATGTAATTGTGATGGTGGCGGGCCCGATCTTTTGACTGGTTGTCCGGTTGGTGATGGTGCATTGGTCGTAGAACGCCTAGGATACTTCTGTTATCATATGTTTTCCGGTAGAGAAATTATAGATTAGATCATCTCTAACGTTAAAAGCACTAGTACAAAAATGATTTGTTGATGTGGTTAAAATGATTAATTGGTGCGGGTATTGAACCACACCAACAAATATCACATAAAGTACCCTTATTTAATGGTGCGGTTATAAAACTGCACCAAAAAAATAATCTGGGAACTATATAGACTGCACTATAAACTGATGAAAACCACATCAAATAAGCAAATAACACACACACACAAAAAAAAAATCCCAATGGAAAATCACCTTTAAACCACCTTCATCTTTGTCGCCTGTTTGTTGTCGTGCACACAACAATCATCAAGTCACACCACTTTTTCAGCCAGTAATCACTGTTAAACATCTCTACACCGACCACCTTCACAACCGACCACAAACCACTAATTGACATCATTGCCATCTGTCCTATCTTAGTCGGGGAAAACCATTATAACCACGAAGAACACCCTACATCCCATGTTACCATTGTTTTTTTACACCCTTACCTTCTTCACTTCTTGAAAACATCTCCTACATCTTCATGAGTCTACTTCACCTCTAGTTAAACATCTTGCCACCACGGACCACCCTTATACCACGTGTCATCTCCACCACTAACCATCGAGAACACCCTCAATAGAGCCTTTGCGGAGAACCATCCACATACCACCATCTCTTATTACACCTTATACAAACCAAACATAAACCAGAAAAAAAAATCGATTTATCTGCGTATTTGGCATCTCCACCACTAACCACCGAGAACACCAACGACATATGCCCTGACTTTTCCGAGAACCATCCAAGCACCACCATCTCCTACATATTTCCAATCCACCAGCTTATTTCAACTTAAACAAAACAAACCTCAATAAAAAAAAAAATAAGGAAGAAGATAAAAGATATGTTTTTCTGTTGTCTGTAAAGGGGGAAAAGCAAACGCTAAGCCACACAACTTTATTGATCTTGACAATGTAAGACTAAACATAACAGAACGGAACAAAACCATATATAATGGAACTATAATAATTATTCAATTGGTGTTTGTTAATAATTGTATTGAACTAAATTCAAAGCTAAAATTACCTTATTATCCTAACAAATCACATATCATTTTCAAGCAATATTTAGAAATTAAATATTAATAAAGGAATCAAATAACTTTTTCATCGTCAATTATAACACTGTCATTTTATTCGACGACAACCACTACTAGAAAAATTACCTATACATGTATCTTTTTCTCTCTTTCTATCTCTATGAAAATTTCTCTTTGATTGTAGATTCTTTAAAAAAAAAAAAAAACTAAACAACATAGAAATGGAGAAAAGACACAGATTTGAGTCTTTATTAGAGTTTAGATTATGCAACTAAACGATCAGGCCTTTGATGGAAACTTTCTACATGGATGTAAGTACTAAGTATAACAGATGCAGGTGATTCATTTAGAAGGAAGGGGCATCGGCGGTGAGTTTCACCAGCGACGAGGAGGTTTACCAGTAAAAATGTTGGGTGTAATTGGAGTATTACAAGGAGGGTGAAAGAAGAGAATGGACAATGCATGTTGATGGCAATGGCGATTGGTGACGGTCTGGTTGCGCATGTGAGGAATCTTGCAATGGAAAATGAAGGGTGGTACAGATTGTTGGGGCGATATGAAGGACTAGAGGTTAGATTTGGATGATGGTTGAGACGAAGAAAGGTTGGAGACGATGCATCAGGTGATGGGAGAAGGTGATCGTAGGGGAAAATAAAGGGGTATTTTTGTCCTTATAATCTTGTACCATCTTGTTCCATCCATTTGGGTGGGATTAAAAATAAGATATATAGTCCCATTTGATCTAGTTCCATAAATGCCAAACACCACTTCAAATGCATATTAGACTATCTCCAACCCACCTCCATTTTTTCCCAAAAAAATAGAGTAAAAAATAAGGTAAATAGTGTTTCATCTTCAACCCTATTCCATTTTTTCTCCCATTTTAACCCCCAAAAAATATATTATTAGTATATTTCATTATTCCAACTTACATTGATTGTTAAACACACCTCTTTACTAATTTAGTTTTAACAAATATATAATCTATATTTTTTTTCATTACATTAATATTAAATACAAACGATTATATTTATAATAAACTTATAACTAAATATTATACATGCATTTATAAAAATATTACACATACGCACTTTTAAATAAATAAATAATAGTATTGTCACTTGTTGGTTTTTATTAGATTATTATTGTAATATATAGATTAACTACAAGTTTAATAGCATATTTTACCGTGTTTGTAATATATATTTTAATTATAAGATTTTATAAAATACATTATCGTTTTTTAAAATTTTAATGTTTATTTAAATTTTTATATGAATTTGATGAACAAAAACCAAACTTTATATTTATAATTGATTAATATAATTTAATATATAATAAAATATTATAATTATTAAATATTATATTTAAATTATAATTAGTAGGTAAAAATGAACTAGAAATGTAAAAATATATAACAGAATGACTAAAACTGACAACACAGTGTTCACCTCTATTTTGAGAGAAATGAATAGTATAACACCATATTTTGTGTAATACTATTCATATCCCCCAAAATAAAGGAATAAAAAAGAGAGAGTTTGAGAAGAATGGGGAAAAAAATGAAAAATGAGAGTGGGCTGTAGATGCTCTTATTAGAAGAGAAATATATATAGAAGGGAAGCAAAAATATTAGAAGGAACCGAAAATTAAAATGAAACTCTTAGAGGGAAGTGAAACTTTTATTAATGCGGTTTCCTGTCTTTTTTGACGTGGTTTTAATTTTTATAAATGTGTTTAATAGTGTGGTTTTGAAAAAGATAATGATTTTTTAATATTTTGACTGCGAATACAAGAAAACTGCACCGATAAATTTTTTAAATGGTACAGTTATTTGGTTTATTAATGTGTAACCGTTTTAATGGTGTGGTTTTAGGCTTCAATCCCACCAAAAAAATAATCACTATTAAATACTTAATATATTATGTACTAGTTAAGGTCTTTATATATAGTAGCCCAAATAGAGTAGATAACGGATCCCAACGGAGGAGTAGCCCAGTCCATTGGACCACCGACCACATGTCCACATGGGTACTCTAAGCCACCGTGCATGGGTATGAAACCGCATGTTACATGTATGCCACCATGAAATAACCACCACTTGATTCAGCTCAAAAGCTGCCATATACGTTTGATCGATCCCTTAAATTGAGAGGAATTTGTATTTATGATGGGAACAAGAAAGAAGTTTTAATCCAAATTTGAATGACAAGAAAAGCAGATGATTTAGTTATTTGTTCTGTAGGTGTTTTAGGATTTCTACCATAGCAAGAGACTTCAGAGACAATATATCAGCCCTTTATTGCATAAAAATTACATCACTCCTCAAGGATCTTTACGTAAAGATGAGCTTGGTTTAGTCTTTCATATAATCACCATATCTTTAAACACAATAAAAAAGTCGAGCACCCCTTTTCTAAAATTTATCAGAATTGTCGCATATTCAATTATAATTAGGGAAAATGACTTAAAAGCCCAACCAAGTTTTCAAACCGTTCAAAAAACCCCAATCATGTTTTGTCTGTTCAAAAAAACCCAACAAACTTAACATTTTGTCTAAAAAGCCCAACGAAGTTACACTTTCCTGAAAGTCAAATAAGAGAAACAGATGACGTGGCTTATTACCGTATCGGAAAAGTGACATGTTAGGCCAACGAAGTTTCCAAAACGTTTAAAAAACTCCAATCATGTTTTGACTGTTTAAAAAAAAACCCAACGAACTAAAACAAAACAAAATTGGGATTTTTTGTACGGTTTGGAACTTTGTTGGATTTTTTAGACAAAAGGTTAAGTTCGTTAGTTTTTTCTGAACAACCAAAACATAATTGTGATTTTTTGAATGATTTGGAAACTTTGTTGGGCTTTTAAGTAATATTGATTCCATAGTGGTGTAGTCCATGTTTCTTTTAAAAAAAAGCCGAGTATAATGGAAATACTCATATAAACAGTATAAAGCAATATCAATCTCTATAAAGCAATATCAATCTCTATAAGTTCATGCAACCAAAAATCAAAAAGAGAAAATTCTAATCAAAACGAATTACGTACACAAATCTCAGCATAATTACTAAACATGCACCGGACCTAATAAAAGAAAGCTAAAGCGATCCCCAATAAACTGATGGGTACCACGGCGGTGAAAGATGAACCAAAACTGGGTGATGGCGGTTGTAGAATGGTGCCATCCGTGGGTGGAGAAAAAAGTGTCGGTGGAGAAAAAAGGGTGGGTGGAACAAGTGTAGGTGGAGAAACAAATGCGGGAGTAGCGGATGATGGTGGTGGTAGATCTGGGGTGGCAGACGTGTCGGAGACGTTGATGGTTAGTTTTTGACCAACTTGGCAATGAGTTCCAACGGTGCGGATGTAATAGTGTGTGCCAGGTGTGTTTAAAGTGACTCTAGCGGGGCCGTTGGCGACGATGGAGATGGGGTTGGCGGTGGTGCATGGGCAGTAAGCCGCCTCGGAAACTTCAGCAACGTTATGGAATCCAGTGATGAAGTTAAAGAGAAGAACATCGCCAACTTTGAATGTGCGAGTTGATGCCCAGGTGTTGTAAGCAGAAGGTCCATTGGGTGGAATATTCCAGCCCAAGGCGTCGCCGACCACATGTGTAGTCTGAGCCACCATGCCGTTAAACTGCATGCATGCAAACACGAGCACCATAATCACCGACAAATTGAACTTTAAACCTGCCATCCTTGTGTTCGATGATTATTTGAAATCTAGAAGGATTTTGAAGGTTAATGCCTTAATGGTGTTTTGAGAAATAGTTGTGTTAGGATTTATATTTATAGGGAATGGTTGTAGGGACGCGTAAACAACCGTGAAAAGGAAAGTCGTATTTAAAATCTAGAAGGATTCTGAAGATTAACATTTAAAAAGTCGCTATTATAATAAAAAGAGTCCATTCATCTTCGTAAACTACCAAATATACATTTCCTTGAAAATCCGTATCAGAATGGTTAATTTCAAATCCCTCAAAATCAGCAACTTAATGGATTAACAGTTTGTCAAATATTTTGGTGATCCTGAATGGAATTCGTATTGAAACCAGCAAGAAATCAGAAATCGGCAAGGAAATCTCAAAAAATGGGGAAGCAAAATAATCTCCAAATTTGAATCGGGCTTAATATGTTCACCTTATATAAAGCCGCTTTCACCTAGCTTCCTCCTTTTTTATTGATCAACTATTAGTTTAAATATTCATGTTGTAGCCTTTGTTCTTAGGGTGTTTTTGATGTTTGCTATTCTGACCAAGAAAGTAAATCCTTTTGTTTACACAATCAAGAGGGTAAAACTTGATTCAACCTCCACCTGTTAGTACGACCTATTATTAGTTTGTATTTTCAGTTGCTTTGCTTGATGTAAAATTTATTTTGTTGTTTGACTTGACGTTCACATATTGTTTTATTTTTGTATTTATTGTTTTTTTTTTTTTTTTTTTGTAATGTTAATTGTTGTATTTGAGTGTCTAATGATCATTGTTTTGTTAGTTGAGTGTCTCATCTTAAGTTGCGTTGTCCAGTCCAAAAACATATTGTAACACCCCATTTAATCAATAAACAAATAAATTAATTAATAAATGTAATTCCCAGACTGAATTGTGAAGAAATTTGATAGTGGGAGTTGTTTAGTAAGTTACGGAGTTGTTTTGAGAAGAATTATAGAAGCAAGGGTATGTTTGGTAATTTATGGGACTTGATTTGAAAAGGATTTTCGAGGTCAGGGTTAAATGGGTAAATTATGGACTCATTTTGAGATAACAGAGGGAAGGAGGGGCCGATCCTAGTATTATGGAAAAGAATTAGAGAGGCATCGGGTATATATTCTTACCGGAACCCTAACCCTAAAGAAAAGGTTGCAGCCACCAATCCCTAAGCACTGGTCGCCATTTCCCTTCCCATTCTTCGACTTGCAGTGCCGCCACCACTCTCCTTCTCCATTCTCCGGCGCTGGCACCCCGTCACCGCCGCTCTATTGCCATATCCCGATCGCCATGCACGTTTTTTGGTCAGTTGTGGCCGCCATGTGAGCCCCTGCTGCCTTGCTGCTGTCACCGCTTCCATTTCCGACGTGTAGTGAGGCCGAGAACCGGAGTCGGACGTTGTGTATTTTGTCGTCAACTTAAGTCGCCAAGAAGGCTTATATGCCACCGTGGAGGGTGGCTAAGCTCATGGAACCACAGGGGGGCGTGTCGTATGACTGTGGTTGGAAGGAAATGCCGGCGTGAGTATCTTCTTGTGAGGAGTCGGAACCATCGTTACGGCTACCGGAAGCACCGCAGCTGCCGTCGTTTTGTGGTTGATGTTCGTTTGCTCGGCTGAGGGACAAGAAAGACCACCGCCACCACCATTGGGTGGCAGCTAGCATCGCAACCGACGTTGCTGCTGCTGCTTTTCTAGCGCTGTTGCCGCCTCCCCGGAGGTTTCGTCGCCGCCAACACCACCGGTGGGTGGCTGTGCTTCCATTTCAGGCAAAGATTTCAGTGTATGTGGCTGTGTTATTTTGTTTGACTGTCTTTCCGTCGAAAAAAGATCAAGATCAACGATCGCCACCAGCGTGAGGTGGTGGCTGCCGCCTTGTACCACCGTCGGCCACCACTAGGGTGGTTGTGTGTGTGTTAGTTAGTTAGTTAGTGTGTGTGTGTGTGTATAAAGCATTGTAATTGTAATTTCCAAAAGATTAATGAAAAGAAATGGAAAACCACCACCTTAGGGTGGTGACCGCCGCCGTGAGCCGCCATTGACCACCACTACCCGAGGCGGTAGTGGGTGGTGTCCCGCTAGCAAACCCTAATAGGCTTAGAGATTGGTTTTGGGTCTATTGGGCCATGTTTGGGTGGAAAACCCTAATTATGAGTATTTGGGCCTTGGACTTATTTGGACCCACTTTTGGGTCATTGGGATTAGATTGTGAATTAAGCCCAAACTATTTCATGTCATTTATCTAGTTGAATAAAGGATTTAATGGACTAACTCCTTAATGGGCTAATTGAGAAAATACTAATATCTGAGAAATTATCAGGACACACACGTGAATTATTTAATAAGTGAAATATTAAATAATAATCATTGACATAAATTAATCTAACCAATAATGGACTTAATGGATTAAGTCCTTAGTGGATTAAGTCCTTAGTGGGTTAAGCCCTGAATGGGTTAAGTGAGAAACACTTAACCCTAATTATTATTTTATGAGAAACCCAAATTTCACTTGGGCTTTGAGTTGGGCCATCCAAGAGTAATTAAATGGACTAGAGTAATTAGTTGGGCTCTAGGGTAAGCCCCATGTGAAGGATTGGGCCCAATTTTGAAAATTGGGCCATAGATGGGCCATAGCCTGGGCCTAGATGGTTGTACAATATTGGGCCCTTAGAATGAGACATGTTGGACCGGACTGAGCAATTGGGTCTTAAGGGAAGTCCATGTGGAGGTTTGGGCCCAATTTGGAAAATTCGGCCATATGTTGGGCTTTGATCCCTAGTTGACTTTGGGCCTATGGATTGGACCTTGGGCCTGGATAAGCCAAGCTTGGGGTAATATAGTAATTACCCAAAGAATATATTTATAGTTATGTGTTAGAACACAATTATTAATTGGGTGTTATTTTGGTGTTGACAGTTCGGGAATCTGTCATCCAGCAGCTAAGGTTGAGTCTGCAGGACTTCAGCAATGTGGGATTGTGTCTACGGGACTTCAACAATGTGAGGTGAGTTTCCTTCCAATAGGAATAGGTCTAAGGCCACAATGCAAACCCGATTAATTAGTAGTAGTTTTTGGACCTCGGTCTGATGCAATAGTTAGAATGTTTGATGCCTTCATGGCTCAGGCGGTGTTTATGTGTTATGTGTTCCGGGCTACAACCCGATGTAGTATGCAGTTTATGTGTTCATGCTAGTTGATATGTTTATGCTATGCTATGTTATGCTCGGTTAGTTTCCGAACTTCGGTCTGATGCAGTTAGTTCCGGACTTCGGTCCGATGCAGGGGACAAGGTCCCAGTCAGTTCCGGACTTTGGTCCGATGTAGTTAGTTTCGGACTTCGGTCTGATGCAGGGGACAAGGTCCCAGTCAGTTCCGGACTTCGGTATGTTGCAGTGGGCAAGGCCCAATATGTGTTTATATGTTATTGTATGGTATGTGGTAGTTTGGGGGGGCTCACAAAGCTTCTTGCTTACAGTTTCAGTTTTGGTTTCAGGTACTTAGTTTTCAAAAGAGGAGCTTGGGATGATTTCAGTGCACACACCATTTGTTCAACCTGGGATGTTTATACTCTGATATATTTGACAGTTATTATAATATTTTGAGATACATTGTTTATGATTTCTATGTGAGGTTTATTGACTATGGTTTTATCATTAAATTAAACGAAACTTTCAGACTGTGTTTTTGGGATGTTACAAGTTGGTATCAGAGCCTTGGTTTGAGGGATTCGGGTGCACTCCCGAGTGTGTCTGAACTCAAACTAAGGAAGTGGTAAAAAGTTTTTAAAAAAGAAAAGAGTTTTAGAAAAGCAAAAAGAATTTTTAGAAAGAAAAGAACTTTGGAAAGAGAAAAAGGATATGGTGCATGCAATCAGTTGAGCTCAAGTAAGTACTCCGAAATTACCCATACAAGTTTATGTTATGAATACCAGTTTCAGTTTCAGTAGAACAACATGCTAGAATAGGGATAAGGATCTAGGAAGGATGCCTTATGTGCCTATTATATGTGTATTAGCTTTCTGAGAATTGGATGCTAGTTAGGGCTAAGGATCTAAGGAGGATGTCTTATGTGCCTGTTATATGTGTACCAGCTTATTGAGAGATGCATGCTAGTACAGAGTACCCAGTATGATAGCCAGAGTAGTATATGCTTTAGTATGTGTACTTAACGCCCGAATGTTGCTTGCTTTGTGCTCCTAGGAGTTCTATTTGTCTTTCACTAACTAGTAAACGAATATGATAAGTTACATATTGCAAGGACTAAATAATTTCAAAATAAATAATTTCAGAAGGTTAGGTCTAGCCCTATTTCGTAGCTCTTGTATGAGTCCAACCATTGTAGGGTAGGGTCTCTCATTCGAAGAATTATCTAGTCTAAGTAATATGTAATAGTATTCGCGAGCTAGTTAAGGGAAGAAAGCAGGAACTTCTTATGCAGCTGATGGTGGGAGTGAGTTGGTGGAGTTAGAGATTTACTTATGGAAAGCCTAGGATGAGAGTAGCAGAGATCAGCAGTAGTGGAAGTGACTTGGTGGAGTCGAGGCAGTACTTGAGGAAAGTACGGATAGATGTGGAAGGTAGTATGGGCCCGTACTACTGAAAGCAGAGGATCCGTACTCGAATCATGGAAGGCTAAGATGAATCCACGGAACTTGTAGTGTGTGAGATCCCTCAAGTTTGGATGAGTATTGTGATGTTAGTGATGGCATGTTGTCGAGTATAGTGACGCTACGTGGTAGACCAGATGGTAGTTCGGGTGTCGACAGGGGATCAGGCTCGGACTCTGGATCCGGGCAGATTGATGATCAGATGAGGGAGTTCATTTCATCTAAGAACTTCGTGTAGTATCATTGACCATACTCCTGTGATCCTCAGTGTGATCAAGGAGGGCATTATAGAGATTTGTGATGAGAGGACGAGCGCATTCTGCACTGAGATAGCAGTCATGATAGAGACCCGTACGTTGATGTTTCGAGAATTCAGAGTTTGTGAG